ACCAAAATGCAAAAAAAATCACATTCTTTTGGAGCACACCTGGAACATATTCGAAGATAGACCACATGCTGGGACAGAAGTCGAATTTGAGTAAATTCAAGCACATAGAGATTATACAGGTGTCTCTCTCTGATCACTGTTCCATAAGGCTGGAAATCAACAGAAGGATGGGGACGAAAACAAGTGAAAACAATTGGAGGATGAATAATTCTCTATTGCAAAAGGAGTGGGTATTGACCCAGAGCACAGATGAAATCAAGAAGTTTCTAGAAACCAATGAGAAAGAAAATACGATGTACCAAAACCTTTGGGATATAGCAAAGGCATTTTACCGAGGAAGGTTGATAGCAATAAATGCATACATTAAAAAAGAAGAGTGACTTGTGTTTTATATGCTGGCACAAAACTTACAGTAATTAGAGCAGAGTCAACATAACAATCCTACTAATAGTAAAAGGATAGAAATAATAAAAATCAGAGCTGAGATACAGGAGAGGGAAACAAGAAAACTATGTAAAAAATTAATACAGCTAAAATTGGGTCTTTGAAAGGATTTATAGAATTGATAGACTGCTAGCAACTCTAACTAAAGAAAGGAAGGAACAAATGTCGATTGCAAGGATGAGGGATGAAATAGGGGGCATTACAATGAACCCTAATGAAATCAAAAGGATAATTACACAGTACTATGAAGGCCTATACACTAACTTGGAAGACATGGACAAATACTGGAAACACAATCCCTCCATAGTTTATCCCAGATGGATGTAAAGAACCTCAACAGACCCACAGAAGTGGAAGAAATAGACAAGGTTATCAAGGTATTACCTACAAAAAATTTCCCTGGGCCAGATGGTTTCACAGGACAATTCTACCAAGCATTCAGGGAAGAACTGATAGTAATCCCACACAAACTCTCCGGAACATAGAAAAAGACGGGAAACTCCTAAACTCGTTCTATGAAGTTTGTATAACTCTTATACCTAAAGCAGGCAAGAATCTCACAAGAATTGAAAACTACAGACTAATATCTCTAATGAGCATCAATGCAAAAACCCTTAACCAAATACTGGCCAATAGAATCCAAATGCGTATAAATAAAAAAATTCACCTTAACCAAGTGGAATTCATACTAGGGATTCAGGGATAGTTCAATATTTGTAAGACCATTGGTATTATTCGCCACATTGGCAGGAAAAATGATAAGAACCACATGATAATATCGATAGATGCAGAAAAAGCATTCAACAATATCCAACATGCATTCCTGTTCAAGACACCCAAGAAAATAGGATTAGAAGGAAAATTCCTCAATATTATACAAGGTGTATATGAAAAACCAACAGCCAACGTGATAGTCAATGGAGAAAAGACAAAAAACAATTCCACTTAGAAAGGGGACCAGATAAGGATGCCCCTTGTCCCCACTCCTATTTAACATTGTACTGGAAGTCCTAGCTAACAACATAAGACAAAGAAAAGACATCAAATGTATTCATCTGGGAAATAAAGAGGCAAAATTATGATTATTTTCAGACAATAAGATTGTATACATCGAAAATCCCCTAGACTCCACAAGTGGAGTGTTGGAAGAAATAGAGGAATATGGCAGAGTGGCAGGATACAAAATCAACAAACATAAGTCTGTCGGTCTGCTATCTACATCAGACAAGATCACAGAAGAGGCAATTAAAAAGGTAATACACTTTACAATATCCAAGCACAAATCGAAATATCTAGGGAAATACCTGACCGAAAAAAATGAACGATTTGTATGAGGAAAATAATAGAACACTATTACAAGAAACCAAGAGTGACCTCAACAAATGGAAGAATATCCCATGCT